CGCTCCCGGCACCTCCTGCTTGTTGGCCAGGAGGAGGACGGGGATGCCAGCCATGCTGGGGTGGCTCAGGGCATCCTCCAGTGCTGCCGCTGCCTCGGGCAGCCGCGCTGTGTCTGTGCTGTCGAGCACGAAGATGAGGGTGTTGGTGTCCTCCAGGTAGTCAGGCCAGCTTGCCCGCAGGCTGCTTTGTCCGCCAATGTCCCAGAGGGTGAAGGATACACCGCAGGGTGTCTGCAGAGACTCCACGTTGAATCCCACCGTTGGGCAGGTCTCCACAGCCTGTCCGCTCTTGAGCTTGTACAGAAGGGTGGATTTGCCAGCCAAGTCCAGCCCCAGCATGACAACTCGAGCATCTCTTTTGCGCCGGCCTTTGGAGATCAGCTTCCCCATCAAGATGCTGCCGCAACGGTGGCACAAAAATTGCAGCCAAAAGAAGAAAGCAAGCGTATGTCCTCAGTAATGTCAGTTAATAAGAGACTGCTCAGTCCTGCCTCTCTCATAGAGCACTTCAGATTTGCTGAAGAAAGACACAGGCAGCTTGCTTTTGCTTGTCTTCGTGGCTAAAATGAGGTGAGAGTTATTATTTATGAGGTGTGGAACAGGGCCAGGGAGTGCTGTTTGAAACAATTTTCATACCCCAGCTCCGCTGCTGCTCACTTCCATTTTCATTCGTGACCTGATCAGTGCAAAAGAGAGCTAACACTCTGCAGGAAGAGGTGGAGAGATGCTGGAGCAAGTTTCCCCTTCACCATGTCCAGAAAAAAATTAGCTTTTGTTCATTGGCTTCTCAAGAGGAAATCCACCCCTGGCAGGACAGGACAAGGAGGAACCCGGGTTTCAGACCAGCATTACTCTAGGAATTTGCTGACTCACAGCTTAAGGGCGTGGATTGAAACATGAGCAACAAGAGAACTGACAATTTTTCTGCCAGTCTTATGTTAAAAAGTACAAAATCAATCTCTGCAGCATCAGCTTTTACTACCTGTTGTGCAGAGAGAAATGACAGCAATTTAAAAAAACACACACAAGCATGGGTTTTTAATGTCTCATTGAAATACAAGTAGTAAAACCACCTTTCCTGAGGTGAAAATCTACAAGGTATTTACTACCTTTTAACTTTTGTAAGTGAAGCCACATCCGTCAGTGGTTGAGGGGGAACAAGAATTCTTTAAAAGAAGGAAAAAATGTTTAACAAGGCAGCACCACTTGAACTTTACACGCCAGAGGCAAAAACGTGCTGCTGAAACAGCTCCCAGAGTCACTTGTGCAAGAGCAGCCACCAGGCAGAGTCCCAGCAAAGCCGGTATTTACCTTCTTTATTGGTTGGGGTTTGTTCCTAAAAGGCTGCTCAGAGATGAGCATTACTGAAAGCAGCTGCAGATCTCATGTCCTGGCGTTAACGCAGAGCTGTTCTCCAGCCACCTGTGAAAGGACCTCAAATCAGAACGGGTTCGGTTGGAAGGGACCTTCAAAGCTCATCTAGTTCCAATCCCCTGCCATGGGCAGGGACACCTTCCACTAGACCAGGTTGCTCAAAGCCCCGTCCAACCCGGCCTTGTGATCATCAGCAAACTTCATCAGGGTTCATTTGACCCGATCATCCACATCACTTATCGTCAGGCTTTTGGTTAGTTCAAAAACTAACGCTTGTTTACAGCTGTTGTCACAGAGTAATCTGACAGTACTAATGCACCACCATGCATGTGATACATCATGCAGCATACGCTCATGTATGATCTTTTCTAAAACCTGTCTGTAAGTGCAAAAAGGGCAGGAAACTCTCTGAATGGGAATAAAAAAAGACAACTACAGCGTGCAGCACATCCTAGCCCTTCAGGGGACTCTTTATATATCCTGAAGTGTGTGCTTCTGCCTGAGGGTTACCCGCTTGTCTGCATTCTTCATTTTTTACAATAACTTACATTGGTATCTGGCTCCTTCATCTCCTTGTTCTCCATTTTGGGAAAACCTTCCTGCCCATACTGCATTGTACTATAAGATCAACAGAGTTGGCATTTTTTGATGTACCAGTAGGTGGAGTGAATTGTCTCTTGATCTTCTCATGTTTGCCTTTGCTACTGCCCATCTTCTCTGAGGTTTGACAGGTGGCTGTGGTACACAGCCGTTTCATCTGACCAGACATTCTTCTTTTAAGTAAACTAAAACATAAATACAGGAAGCAAGGGTGGAGATTCTACCACCTGATGAATAATTGAGTATTTGAAATATGATGTGATGGAGTCTTTATTGCATCACTCCCTAACAGGCTACAGAAGTAGGCTGCTGCTGTAAAAAAAAAAAAAAAAAACCAAAATAAAACAAAATAAAATAATAAGAAGAAATAAAGCCAGAATAAGGTTTGCAACTAGGACACAGTTTTACTGAACTTTGCTTTTGGGTTTTCTACGGCACGGAATAGAGTAATTCATGGGCAACTAGAGGCAACTCTATAGTCTTTTGGGTGTTTTTACGTTCTCCTACAATTCTCATATTGAACTGCAGCCTATTTTCTTTCTTCCTGACAATTATCCCAAACATGGGGTGCAAATTGTGCCTACAGACTCTGCTCCACCCACAGCTATGTTATAAAAGCATAGTACCTCCAATAAACAATACATAGGAACAACTGCAAGTCTGTTTAAGAAGGTATGAAAGAAAAGAAAGTAAAAGCAGCCAAGATGATCTCTGAGTGAGTCTCTTGCTGGAGCAGAAAGACCATATGCTGAATAATTCAGAAACTGTTCAGACACGAGGACAGCCCCTACCCCAGCTACATCTTACACGGGTGTAACTAAGGTTCTTGCCTCATGTTTCATGTCTCCAAATTCACAGGGTCAAAGCCAGTGGTTGCTAATGCTCTTCACAATGTCACAGAATTTCAGTCAATTTGTTTGCTGTTTGTTAGGCATGCATCTCCCTGCTTCCTAAACATTCATCACCAAGAGCAGTAACCAGGACTAGCACTGAATCCCCCTCCTCCTCAAGCCCTAAATATTCCAGTAACTGGAATTTTGTCCTGATCACTATATTCACTGTCGAAGCACTTTGCCCTCACTCCAGAGGCATAGACAGGAGGAAGAAAGAGACTTTAAACTGCAAGAAGTTTCTACTGGACATAAGGAAGACATTTTTTATTATGAAGATGGTGACACACTAACACAGATGTCTCTCTGTATCACTGATAGAGAAAAGTTGTGGCTGCCCCATCCCTGGCAGTGTTCAAGGCCAGGTTGGACAGGGCTTTAAACAAACTGGTCTAATGGAAGGTGCTCCTGCCTGTGGCAGCTTGTGGTGCTTACCACTTGTCCCAAGGTGTTTGGGAGCACTAAACTGGTCATGGCTTACTTCTGAGCTCTGCCTTGGAGAACAACCACACAAGTTCACCCCAGTCCCCATGTCACAGATTTGGATTTGAAAACTACAGGATGGGGAATCTCAGAACCCTTCCCTATATGTGGCTACAGCCTCCAGCAGCCTTCTGCTTGTGACAAGTTCAGTGGTGCGATAAAAGCTCAGCTCCTCTTTTGGTTGGGTACAGAATTCACCACAGGTTGAACGGACACAGTGAGCTGGTCCTTGTACCTGGAAATGTCAGGAGTGCCCAGGACAGGTCCAAATAGAGTCTCTGTTCGAATGTTCATGTGTGATATTCTCCTCATTGTGGCCGACTAGCACCGCCTGAAACACTGTTGACCATGACATGGCATCGATTTGTTTGTCCTCAGCCCTCCCGAAAAGATGTTTCCCAGGGTACCTGGGAAAGGTTTCCTGCTTTTTGTTGGTGTTGTGTAGTGAACACTTCCCTGTTTTTCAATTTCTGTATGCTTCATACAGCTGGAGTAGAAAGTTGTTGAGAAGATGTCAGGGCGCTGAGTGCCACGGCTCACCCCCTTTCTCAAGGGGGTACCTGATGCCCAGGGCTGGGGCTGTCCCTGCATGCTCCCAGCCTGTCTACTCCCTGGCTAGGGGCAGCGGGACAGGTCCTGACTGCCAGACTCTGCTGTGATACCCCCTTGGGAGCCCTCACTGCACCCTGACAACGAGGGTAGAGAAATACAGCACAGAGCAAAGACTTTTCCCTCATGTTCTCATCCCTTAGCTGGCAGGTGTTGCAGCTGATAGGGAAAGGAAAAGTACTTGCCTTACTTTGATTTCCATTTGAACTACTGTGTCTTTTGTATATGACTGTAGAATATTTTTAATAAATACTGTCATTCCAATCCTGAATTTATCATTTCCAAAGCTGTTCAGAATTTTACCAGGATGCAAGTCCTCTCTGTAGACTCAGTTATTCAAGTGCTACCAAAATTGGTTTAGTTTTTCCCAAATAAATTGGCAATGCTCTGTAGTCTTCTGTCTTTACCACTGGAACTCTCATTCCAGGTCCTTTTTCTTATGTCTTTAGTTCACAGGCCTCTGCCTCCTTGAATCCTAACATCTCAGCTTTGTCTCCTCGAGGCAATTAAAAACTGAGCTGCTTTGGTTTCCTCACTTATCCTAACACCATCACTCCCATTTCTGAGACTATTCATTAGCTCTTCCTCTTATGGTTGATCTCTATCCCAGTTCAGGTCACACATTCACCTATGCTACATATTGCATACATGCTGTTTTCACACTAGAAACTAGTTAAAATACAGCTCTGACTATCTTGAAATGCCTTCATTTCAATTCTACCATTATTCTCAATGTTTCTAGTTGAAAAGCAGAAAAGAGCAAAAAATGGGTACATCTACAAAAGTATCAGTTATGTGTGCCAAAACCATCCTCTCACGTATTTTAGTATTTGCTCATCCACCTGTTGAATGTAAAAGCTGTGAACCAACGACTGGTTTTTTGTTTTCTTTTACTATTCCTTCAGTTGCAATCGAGAGGAAGACCTAGAGGGGCTACGTAATGGTGCTTAACCATACTGCCTACCTGCACTATATATAATACAGGTAATATCTGTTACTTCTAAGAAGTAAAATTTATAGCTTGGAGGTACATTGACAAAGCTCATCTCTCCAGATTAGTCTGGAGGAAATTGCAATATACAAATCCAGTTCCTGTTAACGGGCCTTCCCTCATTCCAGTTCCACAGGAAAAAAAATGTGATTAAAATGACAATGATGTAAGCATGGACCTGAAAATGCACTTCCTAAAACTTGCCAAGTTCCAAAATAACAGTGGAGTCTCACTCTGACTGCTACTCAGATTCAGGGGTTCTGGATGCAAGGTTTTGTTTTATCATTTGGTTTTATTTTTTATCTTAGCTTACATGTTTAGGACATTTTTATAACAATAAAGGAAAGATATTGCAAAGATACTGGAAATTATCAACAAGAATGAAAGCTACAAACTGATCTTTACTACCTGGTAACATGGATGAAAGCAAAGCAAACTTGTGA